TCGACTCTGTAAGTCCAATTGCGGATTTAGATCCCAGCAAGAGTAGTTCCTGTATTTTTTGTTTTGGGTGTGTTTGTCTGCTGTCCATGTAGAACCCAAGGTAGCGGATTTGGTTGGAGTACATTACTGTATATGTGCACTGGTGAGCAAGTCTTCTAAGTGTGAACGTTGCGTGCCGCCTCTTGTTTCAATTTTCCTTGATGCGCCACCGAGTGCACTAGGAGGTTGTGGGTGATCTTGAGTTGCTTTTACTGTTAGGATAAGGATGGAAAAATGGATTTCCCCACCCCTTCAAAATCTAACGTATGAAAACATAAAACATCAGTATCTCACTGGCACTCTCAACACGACACACAGTAATTACACATCTACACAAAAAACAAACACTTTGAGTTTATCTAAACAAAAACTTTGATTCAGTCTAAAATTTCTATCATTTTATAAATTCATTTTTTCACATCTTATATGTATTTGTACAAATTAAACAATGTTTATAAATCCCAGCCCTGAAGATGATCTCAATAAAGACCGAAACGTTGGCACGATAGAAAAAATATTTTTCTAACATCTTTCAATTAATTAATCTTTATGTAAGGTATTGGTTGAGATAAAAAAATCAGTGTCACGAGCGGGATTCGAACCCACGACCTTCGGCTAAATACGCCGCTGCTCTATCCACTTGAGCTATCGTGACTGCGATCCACTCGAACACTAACTTCCCATCTTTTTTTAATTTTCCCTCCTTTTTGTAATTTTTCAAATGTCGTGTAATCTATCCACTCGGAAAAATGAAAAAAGGAGGGAAAATTCGAAAGGTTGGGTTGAGATGCGTCACACCAGACCGCATCTTACGATCTCCTAATAATCATAAAGTAAAAGTTCTATTGTTATTTCTAAATCGATATATTTAATTTTCTGTACATACGTTTTTTTTCCTTAAAAGATCAATAAAAGTGAAATCTCTTTCTGGCATCCGAGGTATTATAACGTGTAGAAAATATATCAAATCGTAGCGTTCAGTCGATTAAGCCTACTCGCCCGTTGAGCAGGAATTACAAGGACTCGCTTCTTTTCCAATTCTCGGCCGAACTGGGTCAGCAATAGGAGACTGTGAGATATCTGAATATCTCCGTTTGGGCTCGAGAAGAGATTCGGCCCCGTCGTTTTATCAAGGGCAACATATTTGAATACATAGCGCCAAGGCATAAAACATCCGATCTAATGTTGCATACCTTATCAGAGTCTTTTATGTGGACGATTTCCACAAACATCAAGGATCCGCTCCCCTTTTTCCCCCGTATAAACATAAAACGTTCGCCTTGGCAAACTCGGATTTGCCACTCATTACGAATCAGTGCACACGGATGAATAGAACATGAATTATGTTCAATTATTTAATTTTTTTTACTACCGCATTAAAATGAAACTAAAACAAATTTAAAGTGCTTCTTATAATTACATTTGGAATAACGCATACTTGAACAAAATGTCGCACAAAAGTTGATGATAAATTAGTATATAGAAGATAGAAAAGTTAGCTTATTTATAAGAAAGGAATTTCACTCAGATTTTAGTAGATACTGTCAATAAATGGAAAAATAAAAACATAATTACATCCCATATAAAGTAATAACCAACACATTTACACCACACCAACACAAATAAACAAAAAATTTGGTTTAATTCACTTTTACAAATGGGTAAAAATAATCTATTCTTGAGATAATGTAATTAGATGAGAGAATACATCGTATTTTTGTTCATTTGAAGATTTTGTATGTTGAATATGTGAGATCTTGTGGTTAGCTTTTCAACCTGTTTATTTTTAGTTGGGTCGTCTTGCATGACCCATCAGCATACCCTCAATGTATAAAATTCTCAAAAGAGTCCGTTTAAAGCGCTTAATATGCATCCTAGATACTCATAAAATCATTCTTTCCCACCAATTCGGCTTCCATCATCATAATTTCACGATCCAACAAGGTTTCAGTGTCGACACTATCCTCCTATGCTCTAGAGAATAAAAAGTATTTCTTGGGTGAGTTCCAAGATGTAGCACAAGCTTTTGACAAGGTCTGGCACTCGGGTGTGCTTTATAAACTTAAACAAATGTTGGCCTGAAATTCAATCTAACCGTCCGCTGCTTCAGAATGGCGACAACTAGTTTTCGGAAGTCGGTTCAACCCCGGACCCATAAGGGAGAATTCTTGGTCCCATCCTTTGCATCATTTATACTGCTCACCTATTCATAAATCCGAATACCATCACCACCTTCACAGACGATACCGCAATTTTGTTCTCTAACTGAAATCCTATCCAAGCTTCCTCCATCACCTTGTGCTTATCGAAGACTGGTGCAAAAACGAGTAGGAGATTGAAAGAACAAAAATGTGCATCAAAACCAAGAGATACCGATTTCCTTTCAAGTCAAATACTTAGGGGTATACATAAACAGCAGATTGACATGGAATCCTCAAACAAGATTTAAGAGTTAACTTAACAACTTGAACAACTACGAAGGCTTATTAGACCACTAGAACTAATCTTACGCAAGAGTTAAATGCGACCATTTTGGTCATTAGGAGTGTGGGGTTCCACCAAGCCATACAACATCCAGTTCATCCAATACGTTCAATCAAAAGCTCTCAGACAATTTGACCAAGCTCTTTACTACGTCCCATACCTCAATATTCCTTTTGTCGACCATCTGATCCGATCCCACTTTCCCGAACCCACGGCCAAGGTATACGAGTCAGATATTTGGAACTATAACCAAACTGAAGACTGACGTGGAATCCTCTTTACAGAATAGAAGAACAATTTCCAAAATATAATACATAGCCAGCGGGGCTGCCATCCGTCCAGTCATAGGCGACTGAGTCGGAGGCTACCGTCCGGTGGCTGTTGCATACCTCCGTCGAATTAGCATCAACTGTCTCTCCTTGAACCGCTAACTGCTGAGAAAGAGACTGCCTACGAGCCAACAGGCGGTACGCCATTATTTGAACTCGTCACTGCTGAAGCTGAGAAGGGCTGAAATTGTGTTTCGCACCGTGCGGAGGGCCTTCTTCTCCAGAAAACCCTCGTGAAGGATGTCTTAGAGGAAACATATAAAATTTGCTAAAATATCGATATTAATTTTTTAAGTTTGATTTTTTCAACTCAACGTTCCGTTTTCTCCATATCTATCATATGTACTGAAATAAGATTTTAACCACACATTTTCCTATTATTACTAAAGAAATAGACTTTTTTGCGAGAAAGAAGGAGCATTAATTGTCTACAGACAGAAGAAACATTGTGCAGCAGTAAACTAACTTAGGATAACAAAAACATCCCTCCATCGCAGAATGGATCCACACAAAACAAAAGCAGAAGTGGATAAACTCTAGCGGTGCTAGACATAGTAAACTTATGATGAAACAACCCTCACCAAGATTAGCAAACTCACTGATGCAGTTGGAGAAGGCGAGACTCAGAGGAGTGACAGGACTATTAACCGGTCACTGCCATCTGAGAAAACATCTACATAACGATGCTCCCATTTGCAGATTATGTAATGAGGACGAAGCCACCCATATCATCATCGAATGTGATGCAACGGCTCAATAGAGACCATAACCTAGCATACAGAAAATGCCTAGGGAATGAAATTGTAGCATCAATAGTCAATGACCTAATACTTCTGAGAAGAAGAATTGAGTCGATTGTACTGAACTAGAGAACTAGGAAGGTGTAATAAGCCAGAAGGCTGCAGTGTCTGGGGAGCACAAACCCCGATTACTAGTATCCTCATCACCATCATCATCAACACTGTGCCGATATTGCCAGAAAGATGATGAGACTGCGGAACGGTTTTTATGTGTTTTGGAGTGTTTAGGATGGTGCAAATTTTTGCTACTATGAGAGTAAAAACCGCAAGCAAGATCCGACAATAAGGAGCTGGTGGACAGGCTATGGAGATTGATTGACAACCTGAAGCTAGCTAGTGATTTATAAAATTCCGAGGAGCATAACAGAACGACTCAGGTCGAGGTGCAGAAGGCTTTGTGGCCACCTCTTTTATTCCTGCCAAAGCACAATATTTAGTAATAATAATAAATGGCTTAATTTTAAATTTAAAAAAAAAGAAGTGAAATTCGAAGTTGAGACTAGATTTTCCTAAAAAATTCGATTTTAGAAGCCGGTTGGAACCACTTCTCACTTGATTAATTGCGGAAATTCTCCTTCAATTTTCGCTCTAAAATGATGAAGTCTAGCGTTAAGAAAAGCCAAAACAAATAATTGATGACGCAAGACTATTAGCCTGGTTGTCGGAATAGATTCTAAGATGTTCTAAGTTTATACCGTCGAGAATTCGAAAACCATTGTGATGCATCCATTGTCCGTACAACAACGGATTTCCTTTACATCTGAGGAACAGGTAGCTGTCAATACAACTGTTCGACGTTCCGGGGTGGTTCGTTTCCGTTTATTTCCCCCCTTTTGACAAACATCCAACGTGCTTACGTATTATGTCATCCCCTGCCAGTATCGCTAATTAAACAATAATGGCGTTGGCAGTTAACAGTTTACAGACTGAACAAAAATAAAAGTGTTTTTTGTTTTTTTGTTCCAGCGTATAAATTGGCTTTTGGACGTATTTTATGAATTTTAAATTCGTAACGTCATACAATATAAGCTGTATGTAGCAAACTTAAGAACCGACCGAATGAACTGATTTTTTTACTGGCATTACTGACATTCCGATATTATTTATAAAGTGTCTTGTGGAAATTGGGTTGAAATGTGCCCAAAAAATGGCAAGCACATATTTTCTCGACGACTGGGCTATTTGAGAACAGACAACCGATGGTTTTCTTTGTGTTTAAACGACAAAAGAGTCTTTTCCCGAAGGCCCAATAAATTTATATCCAAAGTTCCAAATATTTTCAATATTATTTCAAATTCTACATTTATTAAATTGGGTAAAAAGGGTTATTGTATATAAAACTAATTACCTTTTATGTCTGATTATGATGCATTTAAATTATGAAGAATGACACTTTTGTCGTTTTTTTTGCACGCAAGAACTGCAAAATAAGCGTATTCATATGCCGCCGGTATATATAATCTTCTATCTGCGCATATAATTTACAAGTAGTGTACTTACTAAGACTACTATTGTGGAAAATGTGTTGTACAAGTCGGTTTATCGCCGGCATACTTTATTTTGGTCATATTTTAAAGATAAGGTATTTCTTATGGGTAGTGAAATGTCTAGCTGTTATTTTTAAGTGTTACAACCTCTTTTACTATTTGGAAATAAATTTGTGGCAAAATACAACTTATCGTGCTTTCTAAGGTTGGTGTTATTTTACTACTTTTCAATACAGAGATTGTTTTAAATTTTTGTTTTCCCTCTTTGTGTAGCCATATCTGTAAGCTGAAAATTGGTAAACTTTAACTTTTCCCTTGTCGATATGCATCTGTCTTCTTTTTACTTAAGGTTATAATAACAATAAATAAATAAAAAATCCCAAGAGGTATTCAAAACTGGTGCCCATTGGTGTATCGTAAGTATTTTTCCTTTACATTGCCTTTTTAATTTCAAATTAGCCTTTATTTTAATTTCCAACAAATCGTTTTTAATTTCGAATTAACCATTTGTTAACTTCTAATTAACCCTTTAAAAAAAAACCTAGGAAATAGTATGAAATGTAAGCACGTAAAGTACAATTCCTGCATTAAAAAAATGGAATTAAAATAATTGGGCTCTTAGGAGAACATACTAAAATTAATTCCAATTAAAATTAAAAATTGCATAACATTAAATATAACAAGAAATGATTTTTGTTTTAATCTAATCTTCGTAAATATAAATTAATTGGACTTTTAAAAACCATAGTATTACATTTTTCAAATTAAAAGAGAAATCACCTACCCCGGGTGTTAGCAGTCCAGGGTTAGACCTCATTCTTAACCATCCAGCCACGGAGATTGGGCTCCGAATGCTATCAACAGCAGGACAATTTAGCACTACCAGTTCCTAGATCCAAAACTATTCACACTCTTAAATACATTCTTCCTATTTACATTACATTATTCATTCAGAATGTTGGAATATTCCTCCATCAAACTTTACACCCAATTGAGTGTACTTAATATTGTGCCAACGACCCTTTCAAACTATACATTCTCGCCAATAAATTCATTCACCCTCAACACTCACTAGGGTCACAAAACTATTATTACTATATAAAATATAACAACCCAGTTTTCTACAAATATCGGAAGATGGAACACAGGTACTCGCTACCTTGCTCAAGCACAATTCTAACATCGGGTTGAATACCTACACGCTCTACATATGGAGCCAACGAATTGCAACCTTCAGTTAGGTAAGACACGTCGAGCAACTCTGCAACCCTGATACATACGCAGACTTTGGCGTAAAATTAACTTCTATGTAATAACCTCGTATCGCCTAATCTTAGTCGGGTGAGGATGACCCTCGTTTTAGAGTCAGATCCTACGAGAGCCTCCGATTTACGCTCTTGATGCACGAGAGCTTCTCTCCCGATCCGATTTTAATTTTAAATACAATTAATTGTCAAATCGTTTCGTAGAAGCCCAATTATTTTATACAAGTGAGTACTGTATGAGTACAAATACTGTGATTGAGTCTAAAATTTCTAGCATTGTATAAATTCACTTTTTCCCTCTTCAAATCCTACATATATTTGTATAATTTAAACAATGTTTATAAATCCCAGGCTCTGAAGATGATCTCAATAAAGACCGAAACGTTGGCACGATAAAGAAAAATATTTTTCTAAAGCCTACGTCACAACAGACCGCATCTCACTATTTCTGAATAATCATCGACTAACAGTCACTAACACCAAATACTTATTTCAAATTTAAAAAAATCTCAAATTAAACAAAAAATATTTATTTTTATATTTTATTTTTGATAATTTTTAATTTCTATTGCAATTAATTTTTTAATGGCCTTCGAAAAGTTTAATTTTTATAATTAAAAACCTACTAATGATTTTATTATATTTCTATTATATTGTTTTTAATTTTTTAAAGAAAGGGTTATTTTGAAATGAAATGAAAGTTAAATATGACTAATTTTAAGTTAGAAAAGGTTAAAAATTAGAAAATGGTTAATTGGACGGTGAAAATCAGTAAACTGGCTGCACAGATGTTTGAGTGTAAAAAGTATATCAAATGTATGTCGGGTATAAATGCTGGGCCGCTGGATTCGAACTTGACATACAAAATGCCGGCACCGCGAGGGTTGTGTGTAGAACCATTATATATATANTTGGTAGAGATAAAAAAGTCAGCGTCACAAGCGGGATTCGAACCCACGACCTCCGGCTAAATACGCCGCTGCTCTACCACTTGAGCTATCGTGACTGCGATCCACTCGAACACTAACTTCCCATTTTTTTTTTATTTTCCCTTCTTTTTGACATTTTTCAAATGTCTTGTAATCTATTCGATTCTCGGCGACAAATGAAATGGCCACGGAGAGCACAAGTGGTAGAGCAACGGTGTATTTAGCCGAACGTCGTGGGTTCGACTCCCGCTCGTGACGCTGAATTTTTTATCTCAACCAATACCTTACTTAAAGATTAATTAATTTTAAAAAACTTTTTATATTGTTACTTTTTAATATCCCTTAAGTAAATTTTCCTTTAGTAAAAAACAATACTTTCTACTAAATTTTAATGCATTTTATAATAAAAATAAAATAAAAATGCTAGGGAAAGTAAATACTATAAAATTGGCAATATCCCTATTCATTTTTGAGTATTTATATAAAACATCCCCTCCTCGACATGTCGTATGCTCTAATTTCAGTCTATCTGATGTCTTGTTGTTAAATTGTTTTATTGTTATAAAATCGCGTTGCCATCATTAATTAGCACATACTCTTGAGTACTCTTTTGTAATTTTCTCTTATCATTTATTTTTGAAAAGGACCCACCTCATTGTTAACTGTTCAAAAACTTTGTGTATATTACAGAATTCAACATTTGATCGTTTTAAAGAAAATGATAAGTCTCTATCTCGTCCACAGCAATGTGCACTATCAACTAAAGAAGATGGGCAAATCAGAGACCGAAACGTTCGATTTTGTCAGGAGAAATCAGAGAATTGTATAGCCGCTTTCGTAAGGCAATACTCACATTTTTCACAACGTGTCAGTATTTAAATATTTTTATTATTATTCAGAAATCGTGAGATGCGGTCTGGTGTGATGTAGGTTTCAGAAAACATTTTCTTTATCGTGCCAACGTTTCGATCTTTATTGAGATCATCTTCAGATCCCAAAGTGTTTGTTTTCTGCGTAATTGTGTCGTGTTGAGAATGCTAGTGAGATATCTCATAATTGTATTAATTTAGGAAAAAATCTTGAATGTACGTCCTTTTTTAATATTTTTCACTGCGTTTAACAATTTTATAACAATATCTCACTAGCACTCTCAACATGTCACACAAGAATGGCACCATTACGCAGAAAACAAACACTTTGAGCTCTGAAGATGATCTCAATAAAGATCGAAACGTTGGCACGATAAAGAAAATGTTTTTCTGAAACCTACATCACACCCGACCTCATCTGACGATATCTGAATAATTATCGATTAACGGTCTCTAATCTCTACACATAAAATAAGACGTATATTCATGATTTTTTTTATAAATTAATACAAGTAATTATTTATTAAAAATTGTCAAATGAGTCCATCTATTTATATTTAAAATGGATAATTTAGTAATAAATACACTTTAGTCTATATAATCATACCGTATGATCTGTGGGTCGATGTGCTAGAT